AGCGGCATACTTCTGATTAAAGGTGCAATACTTAGGTCCCAGACAGATGAATGTCCTTTTTCTCACCTCACAGAGCCATCATGGCCCCCCCAAATCAAGCAGACATCCATGGCTACACCAGTCAGCAGAGTGAGCCTCTCTTGAGTTTCTGCTTTCTCTGCAAGTAGCAGCCATTTAGCCTCAAAAGGTCTGAGTTTTAGACCAGTGTATACAAGCCTAGGTGTTCTTGGGAACATCTGGGAATTAGACCCTTGGTTAAGTGGGTGGGGGACTGAAAGACACTGTAACTTGGGTGGGAAAGGAAAGGTGACCTCCTTTTATACCTGTATGCTGATGGAGCTAGCTATTTGGGTTGGCCCGTCTGTGAGCAGGCAGTGTAAAATTATTCCTGGCAGCCCTGTGAATAAATGGAAAAATGAAGTCCAGTTGGCAGCTCACTTGGGTGGATTTAGAGCTGCTCAGCTATGGTTTGTGAAGGGGTTGCTTGGATCCTAAACCTCACTCAGTCTTTCCCCTTTAGAAGGGCCACCTAGTATTGTGCCAGAACACTCTGTTCTAAACCCCGCTCATTCGACAGTTTTGTCTATGACGTGGAGATACAGATAGCAGGATGATTAAATTTCTGGATGACAGAAGATATAATTGAAGTCCAGAGATATTGCTGAGGATTTGAAAGCATCCTGAGAAGCTGAAAGGCTGCCTGAAACAAACAAGATGAAATTTAACAGGGCCAAATATTAAGCCCTATATTTAGGTAATAAAAGTGAATTATGTAGGTACAGTATGGGAGAACCATGACTCGGTAGAATTTCGAATTAAAATCCTGTGGCCGGGATGCTCTGAGCTGTAGGCTGCCTGCTGGGGGCAGCAGAGAGCAGGCTGCGGGAGGGGCCCGCAGCGGGGAGTGGGGCAGGCAGCAGAGGCCTGGCCAGGGCGGTCTTGGATCTGGAGTTGGAAAGGGACAGTGAGCCATCAGGCCGGCAGAAGCTGGCAGATAAGGGCTGACTTGCGGCACACAGGTGCCAGGTACGTGAGTTGTCTGCACCTAAGTGAGACTGGGTTCCCTCTGTCCTAAGCCACTTCTGTCCCAGGACTGCCTGCTCTGGTCAGCTGGGATCTACCCCATCTCCAAGACCACAGGCTTAGTAGGGGCAGAGACTGGAAATGACAAAATGACAGAACACAGATGGGTGATAGCCAAGGGATAGCCAGTGTAGCCTGAAGGGTTGTATGTGGAGAGGGAAGAGTTGTGAATGTTGGTTTCAGTGTTGGTGATGAAATCAAAGGGCACAGAACTATGGACACATTGTAACAAGTCAATTTCCTGATGTAGCACAGTTATATAAATTGTAACTGCTCAGGGAAAATGGGCAGGGGTCTGTGAGATTGCTCTGCACTATTTTTACAACTTCCTGTGAGTCCACAAGTGTTTTTTAAGTTAAAGGAAAACAAGCGCCCAGCCTTTCTCTGCAATAAGGGGGCTGGAGGAAGTGGTTGGGGGTGGTGGTGCTTGGGGCAGATATCCATTCACTTGCAGGGAAAGCAGTCCTTTAGGACAGCCTGGGGGGAAGGCGGGGGAGGACTTGTATGCAGGAGAAGGCCAGGATCCCTTGCCTTTGAAGAGCCTGTGACAAGGGACCCACGACACTGGGAATGTGAAGCTTAGACACCAAGGCTGTTCGTTTGACCCGAGTGACCTAGGTGGATGAAGGACCGAAGAGTCTTGGGTTCCTGCCTACAAGTTTGGTTACTTGTTGCCAGGGAGAAATGCTTGGGGATTTAATTATAGGAAGGGTACTTAAAAGCCCTGGGAAAACCCACCCTGAGTTCTCTAAGAGCTAGAAAAGTCACATGTTAAGATCTCCGGCTTGGGAACTGAGGAGGGGTTAGAGCCCCAGGGGAGACACTGCCTCTCAGTCTCAGCCCAGCACTGGCTGAGGCAAGGACCTGCTGTGAGGATGCCTCACCGGGAGGCTGACTCCTGCTTCTGTACCAGGGGAGGCCTGAGGCAGAAAGTACAGAGGGATGCTGCTGGCTGGGCCTCCACAGGGACTCTAAAGGCCTCGGAGGGGGTGGCTGCCCATGCGGACTGTGTCCTGGCCCCTGTTCTCCACAGGCTGCTCCCTGTCTCACCACGGGCCTAGGAGGGGCCAGCCACAGACCTGTTTTTGAGATCAGTGTGATTTAAAAATGGTTTTTCTGGAGAGCACAGAAGCATCAAGCACTTTTGCAAGGCTATCAAGAGGCAGCCCCTTCCCCTGATGTCCTGATGCGAGGCCATGTGGCTCCCCAGGTGCTGCTTCTCCCAGAGTTGCTGGGAAGTGTGACCTCCTTTATACCTATAGGCTGGTGGCCCAGTTGCTGGGGGCTCCTCTCCAGCCCACCAAGTCTGGTTCCCAGGAAGGAGCCTGGCTTATGTCTCAGTGTCTCCCTCACTTCATCCCAGAAGCCTGCACCAACTCCTTTTTTCCCATAGAGTCCCTGAGAATTCAGGCTCTGTACCTGACATCCCTATTGGTACCATTGGCTGCACTGAGTACTGGCAGCCCACTCCTACGATGGCATATCGCAGGCCCTTGCTACCATCACAGTCCCACTGAGAAGGGGTCTCTGAGTGACAGCTCCTTTGAGCCTCCATTACCCCCATTGCCAACCAGGACCTGCCATTTCTTGTTTCCCTGGGGCCCAGTTCTTTTGTATTCTGAGCGTACCAAGGAGCTGGCACCAAGTAGTCATAGATTTTGATCTCTGTTGGCAGTAAAAATTCAGGAAGAACTCTGTTCAGGAGGGGAGGACTTGACAGGATTGTCGGGCTATGGCTCCCGATCAGTGAGGAGGGTGGGCAGAGGGAGGAGGCTGACCTCCGCCAAGCTGGAGACCTGCTAAGAAAGGAGTGGAGAAGGCTTGCATGTTGTGGGTCATTTCCATTCCCACAGGCCACGGTTATGGATGGTATCTGGGGGCAAGTTTGGGTTTGGGGCTCCTGTGTTCATTAGAGAAGAAAGCAAGGTGACGCGGTGGTGGTTCAGGTGTGGGAGGGGTTGGATCACCTGTGGTGTGTCTTTTGCATTTGGCTTTTTATGCAGCCTGTGAGGCTCACAAGTTCTCCTCCTTCAGCCTAGCTGGTGAGAGACCAAGGCTTGTTTATTCTGCAGCCTATTTCAGATCACGTGTTGGGGAATGATCAGGGAGGGTAAAATATGTGTTCCAGCTCTGCCCAGGACTGTAGGAGAAGCAGCATCTGTGGCTTAAGATAGTGGATCCCATCAGCTGCTGCAAATTTATGTTGCTGGGTGAGGGTGTGGGTGACATTGCATTTGCTGTTCCCCCATTTCCCTTCCTGGGGGTGTGGATGACGTTGCATTTGCTGTTCCCCATTTCCCTTCCTGGGCCATATTCTATAGCTAAAGACCTCTCTCACCCCTGATGCCATTGAGCTTCCCAAGGAAGTTACCACAAGCCTGTTTTTCAAAGACCAAACAGAGACTGCAAACTCAAAAGTCATTAACAGCCAGACAGGGGCCAGGTAGGGAACTGGAAAGTACAGACCTCAACTGAAATCATTCAGATACAAACGGTTCAAAAATGTTTCCAATACATCTACAGGGGGACATTCATTCCTTTCTCTCCTGCCCTTAGAAAGGTTCTTTCGTGGTTCACTTCCTCAGGGTTCCTCCCGCACCAGCCAGCAACTAACAGGAAAAAGCATGGAGTGTGGGTCTAGGCCCTGCTCATCACCTTATTCGCTGCATGATGTTGGGCTGGCACTTGGCCTCTCTCTGCCTTGCTTTACCCGTCTGCCAAATGGGCACACTACCCTCCTTATCCACTGAAACATTGCTCCAAGGAGGAAATGAGAGAGTGTATTTTTAAAATTCATACCCTGCTTCATTCCACAATGCATTTGAGGCAGCTTCTAAAAATACCCGTGATATAAAGAGATAGAAATAAATAATATGTGAAATCACTTTGCAATTGTACCATAAACTCATTTTCCTTATTGTCACTCGTAGCAGTGTGGAAGTGATAATAGATATATTTCCAGACTCATTTTCGATTCAACCTTGGCTTCAGGGCCTTCACTGAAATGCAGCTCGGGTGTGGGAAGCTCAGACTCTGGAAGCTGGCTGTCCACGTGGCCCTAGGGCCCAAGGGCTGGTTTTCCTGGAGGGGTTTGGGTGGCTGGGTGGTAATCAGTTCTGAGACTTCAGCTGTTCTGTATAGAGGCTCCTCCAGCAGCTCTGTTACCGTTAATGCCAAACCTCCCCTGAGCATACTCTTTGTGCTTGAACCTGGGCTGGAGGCTCAGCTGCAGAGGAGAAAATGACCCAGTCCCATCCTACTGGAATTCACGGGAGGGATACTGGCAGTGAAAGGCACATACTAGGCTTAGCCTGACTTGGGAAAGTTGACTAATTCCTTCTTATTTCAATTCCCTGTCCATAAGATGGACATCATAACACTCTTCCTCCATCGTAGCAAAGCTGGAAGGATAAAATGAGACCGTACTCTGATAAGAAAAATTGCTATGCAAATGCAAGAAATCATCATCTCTATTCAGTGCTGCTCTAAAGTGATTTCAAAAATAACAGAGCCATTAGGATTTGGGAGCCGACATGACAAGAGGGTTTGCCTTAAATACTCCACCACGGAGATTTTCAGGGGTCTGTGCAGGACTAGGAACTCAGGCCACAAAGATGAGCCTTTCCCCAGATGAAATGGAATGCCTACCAGTTTGGGAGGATGTGTTAAATATTTAATATGTGCCCAGGCCTGAAGTTGGCATTGTGGAATGAGAAAGTGTTATGAGCTGAACTAGTTCCCCTCAAAATTCATATGTTAAAGCCCCAACGCACACTACCTCATATGAGGGTATTTGCAGGAACAGTCTTTAAAGAGCTGATTACATTAAAATGAGGTCATTAGGGTGGGCCCTAATCCAATCTGCATCTGCATAGTAATTTTTCTTATCAGAGCACAATCTCAATTTATCCTTCTAGCATTGCCGTGATGGAGAAAAGTGTTATGATGTCCATCTTACAGACGGGGAATTGAAGTAAGAAGGAATGCCTGTAATCCCAGCACTTTGGGAGGCCAAGGCAGGCAGATCACCTGAGGTTGGGAGTTTGAGACCAGCCTGACCAACATGGAGAAACCCGTCACTACTAAAAACACAGAATTAGCTGGGCATGGTGGCACATGCCTGTAATCCAGCTACTTGGGAGGCTGAGGCAGGAGAACCTGGGACGCAGAGGTTGCAGTGAACCGAGATTGTGCCATTGCACTCCAGCCTGGGCAAGAAGAGCAAAACGCCGTCTCAACAAAAAAGAAGAAGAAGAAGAAGAAGAAGGAATTAGTCAATTTTCCCAAGTTGGTATGTAGCTTTCACTCCCAGTATCCTTTTTTGTGAGCCCCTATAGGATGGGACTTGGTCATTTTCTTCTGTGTTTTCTCTGGAGTTCTTATAAGAAGAGGAAATTTGGATGCATGAAGAGACATGAGGGGTGTGCATGGACAGAGGAAAGGCCATGTGAGGACACAGCAAGAAGGTGGCCATCTGTAAGCCATGGAAAGTGGCCTTAGAGAAGCCTTGATCTCAGAATTCCAGCCTCCAGAACTGTGAGAATATATAAATTTCTGTTGTTTAAGCCACCCAGTCTACAGTTTTTTTTTGTCTTTGTTTTCTGCTGCTATAATAGAATACCACAGACCCGGTGATTTATAAAGAATGGAAGTTCATTTGGCTTATGGTTCTGGAGGCTGCAATCCAAGAGCCTGGTGCTGGCATCTGGCAAGGGCTTTCATGCTATGTCATCCCATTGAGGAAAGTGGAAGGCAAGAGAAGGTGAGAGTGAGCAGAAGCGCAAGAGGTGGCCGAACTCATTTCTGTAACAAACCCACTCTGGCATTCACAAGCCCACTCTCTCAATAATGACATTAATCCACTTGTGAGGGCTCTCAGTGATCTCAGTGCTGAATACCACTGTAATGGCAATTATGTTTCAATATGAGTTTTGGAGGGGAATTCAAACCATAGCAGCAGCCTGAGCAAACCAATGCAGATTTGTACCGTGAAGTATGAGTAATTTGCTCCATTAATAAATACTTAAAAGGGACTGCGGAACTATGTTAGGTACAGGAAGTACAAGGATGAATGAGAAAGATGTGGTTTCTGTTTTTGGGAAGTTTGAAGTGGCCAGTGGGGACATTGTAGCTGCCTTTGAGATAGGAAGTCAGGACCAACACCCTGAGAAAATATGATGAGATGTCATTATGTGTGGACACAAAAAGTTTACATTGAGAACAGGTGCCCCTCTATTTACTGTGGAGTTATGTCCTAATATATCCACTGTGAATTGAAAATATCATAAGTAAAAAATACATTTAGGTCGGGATTGGTGGCTCGTACCTGTAATCCCAGTGCTTTGGGAGGTAGAGGTGGGAGCATCACTTGAAGCCAGAAGTTCAAGAGCAGCCTAGGCAATACAGCAAGACCCCATTTCTACAAAAGTTAAAAATAATTTAACTAGATATGGTGGCTTATGCCTGTAGTCCCAGCTACTCAGGAGAATGAGGCAGGAGAATCGCTTGAGCCCAGGATTCTGGGCTGCAGTGAGCTATGATTGTGCCACTGCACTCCAGCCTGGGTGACAGAGCAAGATACTATCCCCGAAAAGAAAAATGCACTTAATATACCTAACCTACCAAAAGTCATAGCTTAGCCTAGCCTACCTTAAATGTGCTGCGAACACTTACATTAGCCTACAATTGGGCAGAGTTATCTAACATAAAGCCTATTTTATAACAAAGTGTTGAATATTTAATGTCATTTATTGAGTACTCTTCTGGAAGTGAAAAGGAGAACGGTTGCATGCATACTGGAAGTAGTTTCTACTGAAAATGTATCTCTTTCGCACCATTGTCAAGTCAAAACATTGCAAGTTGAACCATCAGAAATTGGAGACCCTCTGTAGTTCTGACTTCAAGTGGTGGAAGCTCAGAGAAAATAAAAGAAAAGAAAGCAAAAAGGGGCAGTTTTGTGGAAAGGAGGCTTGAAGAATTAGGGTTGATGAAGATCTGGGCTGCCTCGATCTTTTGCAGGGCAATTATAGGACCAGCAAGAGGTGGTTTACCAGAGGCACCTATCCCTGGGGACGCAGCTCCAGGTGACTGACTGAGACAGGGTTCTCCCCGAGGGAACTGCCACCCTCTGGGGCCCATAGCTTCTGCCCTGCAGCCGCTGGGGCTTGGCCAGCCCTTCTGTGGTTATTTGCAGTTGTTTCTCCAGGCAGATGGGGACTGCTGGCTGTTCATCATGTTAGCAATTAACAAGTAATTCATTAGATGCCTAATGAACAAATTATTAACCTGGCAAGTCATGTCCAGTCACTGACTGGGGAGAGAAATGGCTATTAATAAGGTGTTGGAGTGGCAGCTGCAGTTTAGTGGTTAAGGCACTGGACAGGACCAGAGGAGATGTGGGCTCTGGACGCTTGGGCCAAATTGCTTACGTCTCCCGGCCCTAGTTTGACTGCTCGTGTAGTGGGAGGTAAGCAGACCCTGTTAATGGGGGCAAATGAAATGTCAGAAACTGTATGAATGCAGGGCATCAGATTGTATAAACTCGAAGTTTCTTTCCCTTTAGTTCTTAGTTTGCATTACTCTATCTCCCACGCTACTGTGACATACACTGGGGCCATCTCTTAACTCCTGTAATTGGTAAGTTACTCACTCACTACTTCTGCTATTCCTAGAACTGGGAAGAGGGCTGTGTAGCATAGGGAAATACATGTAATATGTCCCCTGCTCTTGTGGAGCTTACCATTTGGTTGGAACTACCAGATGTTCATGCCCAGCAAACTAACTAGAGTATAAAGCAATTTATGATAGGGCCGAGAGCTATAGAATTTCACAGAAGAAAGAGAATTGTAAGTTAGGATGAAGGGGAGGGGCTCACAGAAAGGTAGGAACTTAAAGCATAACTTCATCGCGCTTTTTTTTTTTATGAGAAAAATATCATGTGCTCATTCCTCCAGATCTCCAAGTAGAGGAAATTGAAAAGAAAAAGATAATCTGTAATTCATCACCTGGAGACAACTGCTATTGACATTGCCTTGTGTATCCAAGGACTTTGACAGGTAAGTTGGTGGGAGGATATTCTAGGTGGAAGGCATGCCTTGAGTGAAGGCTCTGGGTTTGGGGAGAGTAGGATGAATGGTGAATACTTCTGGGGATGGATGTGTGAACCAGGCATGCTGGAATAGTGGTCCTGATGCAGAATGGAATGGGAGGCTGGAGCACACAGGAGAAGGGGTTGGAAAGAGCAGTAGGGGCCATTCACCAATGAGGCCGGGGTGAAAGAGGGTCAGGGGCGCTATGAGCCCAGAAGCCCCAATCAGGAGGCCAGACACTCTGCTGTCAATATAACACTCATGACACAATGGAACTTATCGATGTCGCTGCCCCACTTAGCAGAAATCCTGCAAAAACCTCTGCAGGAAAAACAGACAAATCTGAGGCCGTGCTAGAACTGCCAGCCAGAGCATGGGGACAGAGGAAGAGGCCAGGTGGGCCCCCTCTGGTTATTGTCAGGAGCTGCTTCAGGGGGTGTCAGAAAGATTCCTCAGAGTAAGGGATCTGTCCTGTTTTGTTCCCCACCCAGAAGGTGTGACCTCCCTTCAGACCTTTGCCTCATCCTTAGGGCATATTGAGTGCACCGTTTTTTTATTTTTATTTATTTTTTTTTTAAGCAGAGAAGTTTATAGTTGCCAAAACTCTTTTCTGTATGATAAATTAAATAGATAATTGGTATTTCTATTATTCCTGTTTTGCAGATGAGGAAATTGAAGTTCAGAGAGATGAAGGGACCTAATTGAGATTATGTAGCTAGTGACAGAACCAGGCTGAGAATCCAGATCTTGGAACTGCAAATTGTGCGTATGCATGTGTGTGTGTGTGTGTATGTATGTAAAGTTGTGATAACATTCCACTATGGGGAGTGGTATAGGTTCATGGTAAAGTGGATGGTTCTTGGAGACAGGGGACTGACTTCTGCATTAAATTTGCTGCTCTGATAATGTTGTGAATTGAAGAATATGAAGAACCTTTGACTTGTTCTTTGTTATCTTCATATATCAAATAGGGCTGTTAGTACTATTTATCTCCCTGGGTTATTGTGAGGCTTAAATAAGGCAATACAGGTGATGTGGACTTAGCACACAGTAGGTGCTCACTTCATGTTAGCTATGGGCTGTGCACAGTGGCTCACTCCTGTAATCCTAGTGCTTGAGGAGGCTGGGAGTTTGAGACGAGCCAGGGCAACATAGCAAGATCCTGTCTCTAAAAAATAAAATAAAATCAATAAACCGGGTGTGGTGGTCTGTGCCTGTAGTCCCAGCTACTTGGGAGGCTGAGGTGGGAGGATCACTTGCACATAGGAGTTGGAGATTACAGTGAGCTATGATTGTGCCACTGCCCTCCAGCCTGGGTGACAGAGTGAGATCCTGCCTCTTCAGAAGAAGAAGCTAGCTATGATTATTATTGTGTTAACTCTGTGCTCATCTGAGTCATAGAAATAACTTGAGTCTTGTTATTTCTTAGTTCTCTGCTATTGCGAGTCATTTTGTAGTTAGGAAAAATACATTTCCAATCATGTACCCCAGGGATTGTTTGTCTCTGAGGGAACCAGATTCAGAGTTCCCTAAGGGAGACTCTGATTAGCCAAACACCCCAATTCTGCAAAATACAGACAGTTCTTTGTTCTCTGTGACAGAGGTCTTGATGCTCACCAGACATTCCATCTGTTTCCTCATATCTTCTAGTCCCACTGTTGTTAGACAGGAGCATATAATTGCTTCTGGTCAATGGGATATGGGTGAAAGTAACATATATTACTTCTGGCAAGCTCTCTGCCCTTCAGCCCTCTCTCTTCTTGCTTCAGTGACTGAGGAGGCCTTGTGTTCTAGGTGTAGCAGCTAAAAGATGATAATGTATCAGTCAGCCTGGGTCCCTGAGTGACTGTGTGGAGCAGAGACCCCTGCTAAACTACATTGAACATGTTGCATGAAGAAGAGATAAACCTTTGTGGTGTTAACCTTCTGAGACTTTGCAGTAGTTTGTTGCTAACTTAGCTTAAGCTAGCTTAACTAACATATCCCATTTTTGTGGCCTGAAGTCTGATATTTTACATGAATGTTTTACACTGTACAACTTCCCATAGTCTATTGTAGAGTAGGTTCACACCCATAATCTTTTCTGATATCTAGAACAATTATGTATATGGAGGTGCCTCCTGGGAAGAGCTTAGCAAGTATTATTTCCTATGTAATGATTTCTCTAAAATCCCCATTTCTGTGTATATGCATTATTCAGTCAGTCCTTCTCCCCATATGCCATAATTCTACCACTGTAGCTTCCAGACATTATTGCACTTATTCGTTTGTGCATCTGCCTCCCCAGGCTGTATGCTTTTTGATCCTGTCTTATTGAAGACAGAAGGCCAGGCATGGTGGCTAATACCTGTAATCCCAGAACTTTGGGAGGCCAAGGCAGGAGGATCGCTTGACTCCAGGAGTTTGAGACCAGCCTGGGCAATATAGGGAGACCTCATCTCTACAGTAAATTTAAAAATTAGCTGGGCATGGTGGTGCACATCTGTAGTCCAAGCTTTTGGGAAGATGATGTGGCAGGATCACTTGAGCTTGGGTGGTCAAGGCTACCGTGAGCCATGATCTAGCCACTGCACTCCAGCTTGGGCAATGGAGTGAGACCCTTTCTCGAAGAAGAAGAGGAAGAGGAGGAAGATGAGGAAGAAGAGGAAGAAGAAAAAGGAAGAGAGAAGAAGAAAGAAGAAGGCGAAGAAGGAGAAGCAGAAGGAAGAAGAAACAAGAAACAAGAAGAGGAAGAAAAAAGAAAGAAGAAGGAGAAGAGGAAGAAGAGGAAGGAAGGAAGAAGAAAGAAGAGGAAGAAGAAGAAACAAGAGGAAGAAAAAGAAGAAAGAAGAAGGAGAAGAGGAAGAAGAAGAGGAAGGAAGGAAGAAGAAGAGGAGGAAGAAGAAAGAAGAAGGCGGCGACAGCGACGAGGAGCCTGGAACATAGTAGGTACTTCAGGGTTGGTGGAATGAGTCACCAATCGTGAAATAGGCAGGGCAGATTTGGTTGTCCCTGTTTTATGAAGGTACAGCCAGATTTAGGGACTTTCCTAAAGCCAGCCAGCTAGAAAGTGGCAGCACCAGGGGTGGGACCTGTCTCCTGACGAAAGGGCCTCAAGTGATAATTGCCAGCTGTTGACTGAGCACGTAGTTTTGAGCATCAGATGAGATGGGATGTGTGAGGGCACTTTGTATAGAGTGAGGAGTGAGAAGGGTAAGATGTTCTGGTTCCTTTTGCATTTCCGGTCTTCAGACTGCCAGTCAGGAGTCCCACGTGGTAGTATTATCTAACAGGAGGGCCTGGCTAGATCAAAGCAGCGTGTTGAGGATTGGACCAGGAGGAGGTTCCCCAGGGGAGGAGGCCTTGCCTGCCACACCCGCATCTGCACGACAGAAAGGACACCTTTCTCATTCTCCAGCCCCTGAGTCCCATTCATGCTTCTGGGTCCCAATGCAAGGGGTGTGCTGGATAGAGCACTGGGCGTGGGCAGATTGGAGAGAGCTGTGGGCAGCACCCTGTCAAGGGATGCAGCCTTCCTCAGGGATGATGGGATGTGGAGGCCATTCTGTAGCAGGGATTTGTTTTAATGAGTTGTCAGATTCCACCAGGGGCTGATGGTTTTTCTTGGTAGAATAAAAACCCACTTCCTTTACCCACTCTGCCTGGAGCACAGTAGGTGTCCAATGCTTTGTTCCAGTGAACCAAGAGAAAGCAGGTAAGAAGGTTCTTGCTTGAACTCAAAAGGGCCAGGCCTGTGAAGGAGGTGGGTGAAGTGAGGAACCTGCCCAGCTCCCTTCCTGCTCTCCCTCTGGCTGCATGAATTTCCTGGGCCCATAACGGTGTCTGTCTCAGGCCCCTTGCTAAAAGCAGCAGGGCTGTGTTGACTGCTGAGCAGATGACATTGTGTGTGGCTGGCTCTTGGTTGCACCTGTGCAGCCCATTTCAGTGCTCCCAGAAGGCTCATTAGCAAGCGTAACATTGCTGTGCCCTTCTGCCTCCCACACCTGCAGCCCCTGTGGTGGGGGGCCTGAGAGGAGACCCTTTCTCATTGAGAGATGAGACCATGAGTCCCATTCATACTCCTGGGTCGCATCTAAGGGGCGTGATGGATGGAGCATCAGGTGTGGACAGTTCAGCGAGGGCAGCGCCTTGGGATGTCCCCCTTCCTCAGGGCTGATGGGATGTGGAGTCCCTTCTGTAGCAGGGATTTGTTTTAATGAGTTGTCAGATTCCAGCAGGGCAGATTGTTTTTCTTGGCGCAATAGGTCTCCTCCATAAATCTCCTTCCCTGTTCTCCTTAGGGAAGTGGGATGGTCTCTGTCTTCTGAAAAGTCTTGTGGATGCCCTCATTGGACTTTCTTTTCTTGAGACAAGTCTCACTCTGTCACCAAGGCTGGAGTGTAGAGGTGCAATCATGGCTCACTGCAGCCTGGAATTTGTGGGCTCAAGCCATCTTCCTGCTTCAGCCTCCCAGGTAGCTGGGACTACAGGTGCAAGACACCAGGCCTGGCTAATTATTTTTTATTTTTGTAGAAATGGGGTCTCACTATGTTGCCCAGGCTGGTCTCAAACTCCTAGGCTCAAGCCACCCTCCTGCCTTGGCCTCCCAAAGTGCTGGGATTACAGGTATAAGCCACTGCACTGGCCCTCTGTTGAACTCTTATGGTATGGCTGGGCATAATACAAGTCGCCCATGGTGTGAAGGGTAGAGGGCTTCTCAGTCACGTCACAGAAGCCCAGATTCTACAACTGGAGGGGACTTAGAATTCATGGAACCAAGACTTGCAGATGGGTTAGATAAACTTGGGTGCCACTCCAAGTGACTGGTTGTGGCTGCCTGGAGCATTGCATCCGGAAGAAGCCTTACAATATCTGCCATGGTTAGAAGAAGGAGTAGTACATGAATGCCACAGATTCACCTTCTCGAATCTTATTCGAATCCCTTTTTCATGGTGCCTGACTTCTAAAGTTAGAGATCCATTACTTTGCATTAAGACCTTGTCTCTCTGTTAACATTTCTTTAAAATGCATATGCTTCAGAGAGGAGTAACAAAAAGGTATTGAAGAATTCAGTGATTGATTGAGATTGATTGCAAAAAAGGGCCATTATCAGTTTTGCTGGTTCTGGAAAAAGATTTTAGTGCACCAGTAACTCTTAAAATAAATAGATGATCACTTCCCTTAGGATCCGTTTACAAGGCTGTCTTCCAGAGTGGCAACTGGCTGAGAGGAAATGGGAGAGCAGATCCGTTTGGTGGAAGGTGAGGTTGGAAGCTGGAGGTGTCCCCTAGCCAGAGTACACCCTGCACTGGGAACATCAGGGGCCAGAGGTATGGAGGCGCTGACCACCTGTGGGAGGGCACAAGGCCAGCTCTACCTTTTCCTCTGGTTAGAAGCCACCACCTCTTGATCTCTCACCCTAAGAGCCTCACTTGGTTTGTCTGCACAGGACCCAGGCTTCTTGTTGGGGGAGCCCTGTGTTCCCAGGACTGTTGCCAGCTGTTTGTGGGTCATGCCTCCATCACCCAGTTCAGGGATTGGCCTGGGGACTGCAACCCCTTTGTTTCTTCAGACTAACAAGTGACCAGGTTCACTGAGCTGGGGAGTATCGGGCAGGGGATCACACTGCTAACAGGTTAACAACGAGGAGGTTCATTGTGTGGATCGGGAATTACGGCGAGTCGGCTCCCGTGAATGCACTGAGTCTTTATAGAATTAGACTTTAAAGTCAAGAGCCTAAGTCAATCTAGCTTGAATTAAAAGAACTTAAATGGTAAAAAAAAAAAAAGAAATCCTCTGGTCAGATTTGTCAATTTCTCCTAAAGAGAACAGAAGGGGAGGAAAGAGAAGCATTTATTATATGGGTCAGTTAGACCCTCGTGAGTCCCGAACAAGGAAATAAGTGGTTAGAACTAGGCCAGTGATCCTGGGCCTCAGCCCCTGTGCTAAGGTTATATTGGGTTAGAGGCATCATTTGCCCATTCATTCATTCTACACTCATTGGGTAGT